ATACATATATATATATATATAATATGTATATATTATGATTCAAGAAAATAAAAAAGAAATACATAACGAAGATGAAATTTGACTAACACATACTATAAACTTAATGGTCTGTAAATTATTTGTTCAAATGTGTTATAAAATTATTATAACAAAATTTATGCGTAGAATTTGTATAACCTAATAAAAGTAAGGATATTATTAAAAAGGTATATAAGTTAAGATATGAAATATACTTTTAATAATTTATTTTATGTAAAAATAATATAATGCATCATTGGAATTGAATTACTACAGTTTATACAAAGTTTTACACCATTGTGTTGGAAGAAGTTGTGCAAATGATTGGATATGTACTAACATCATTTGAACAGTTTTACAAACCCTCGAAATATATTTACGTTTTTTTTTGTTGGGACATGTTTTAACGTTTCCGTTCAGGACATCAAAAAGCTTCAGATCGGCCCTGAAAAGAAAAGATACCATATCTTTGGTTCAAAATTCTAGCAATAAGTGTATCTTGCCGAATTCTATAGTAGAGAACGCTGTAATAATAATTGGGCCATGAGATACTTTAAAAAGTATTGCAGAAAGGGCCTGTTTCTTTTCGAGCATGAGGACCAAAATGAGTTGTACAAGTAAAAGTGTCTAATTGTGATTGGAGGGGAATGAGATTAGATTTAAAAAAAACATGTTCCACATGTTTTTTTTATCGAGCTTCATAGCATGCAGGTACACACATATGCACCATGTTAAGGATAAGGAGATTAAGATGTCGTTTATCAAACACTTACCCAGTAAAAAAAACATGTTCCACATGTTAAAGACCAAAATGCCCCTGATTCAACATGGGTCTTTAACGAAAGTTAGGGCTAAAATTGAAACCTTAAGGGCCGTAGCCATGAGTTTTAAAGTTTTGGGACTTTATTCATAACCAACGTGATGAAATTTATAATTTTTTTAAAAATAAATTAGTAAAATTGGTCAAAATAGCCATTTCTTAAACATAAATTGGTCTTCTAGCCAATCATTTCTCTGATTTACCCTAAATATCACTACCTCCACAAATACACGCCTGCCATTTCTGGACCTAACTAAAAGACAAAAAAAAATCAAATTGTAGATATGGCCGTCACAGTTGTAGACTTAAGTCAAATCTGATTTTTTTTTTGGTCTTTTAGCTAGGTTCGTAAATTGTAAAAGTAAGACTTATATGGACGTGATGATATTCAAGTACATCGTAGAGATAAATAGTTAAAAAAATAATTTATAAAAAAGAAATGAATATATTAAGAGGGTGTTTGTGATTGCTTATTTGAAACAACTTATATTTTTTTACAAAAGCACTGATCAACTTATTAAAAATCAGAAGAGTTTAACTTTTTCAAAAACTTTTTATTATCGGTTTGACATCAATATAAGTTGTTTATTCAAACACTCAAAAAAATTTATTACCAATTTGATACCAAAATAAATTAATAAGTTATTTTTATAAACGTAGATAACTAATCTTCCAATAAATTAGAGTACTTGCTAATTTAGGCCAAAGAAAACTTTTCCCGTTTTAATCGAAAGCCGACAAATTCAGTTCTTGATTTTGACCTGACCAGACCAGACCTTACCTGACCGACTAATGTGTTAATTTACGATAATACCCTCTGCGTCTGTGTCATATGGTTCGACCAACTCCCGATCTCCGGTCTTTTTCAACGTGAGGTTAGGGCTTTAATCACACCCCGAAAGCCCGTAGCCGCCGTCTTTCTTCATCTGAATCTGCATCGATCTTTGGTTTCAGCCATGATCATTTCTCCACATCAGGTAGTGTTTTCTTGTAAGATGTTAATTGTTTCTACTGTGTTACAATGACTTCCTGTTTCTGTGGATGTTAATACTTGATAGTGTCTTTTATCCGTCAGCGAAGCACTTTTCCCCTTTTTTACGCATCATGAAATTGTATTTGTTGAGAAGGGAACTTATCTCTTACAGTTCGTGTCGTGCTTTCATTCATCCGATTGAATGTTAATACTTGTCAGCGAAATTAGATAGGAATGTATCCTGTTTGGTGTTATGGGTAAATATTGATGTACGACTAGTATGGAACCAAACGTCACGCACAATCAGATTATACTTTACTGAATATAATTGTGATGAGGAATTATATCGATATATTCTAAATTTATCAATCAAACTGGGAAACAGTTGGATAAAAAAAACTAAGTTTCATGTTGTTGCCCTAGTTAACTACTAATAAAATTATGAACAAAACAAAATGATAAATGTTGTTGGATGAAATTGGTCTTAAATACTTCCCTACTAAATAAATAAAAGAGAGTCTTTTGAGTTATATAATGCTTTTTTTTGCCTTTTTAGATGCATATGTCCCATAATCCCTATACATATGATATCTGTCAGATACCAAATCTTTAGACCCTTATCAGCTTCAGTTGTAATGCTTCCTTTGAGGTTGAAAGGGATAAAGGTGTGGTGAAAAACGTAAGTAATGAAAGAAGAGAGAGATAAAACCTACCACTAACAAGATCAATTGGATGAAGATAATTAAATCATAAATCACTTAGTAGCTAGCTACAATTAAGATATATTCAATATATTGAAAACCTTAAAACCATCTAGGGCTTGTCGAGATTCAGTTAACAATTGAAAGAAAGTTCAAGAATTAGAGCTAAATCTCTCACTGTTTGGTCGCCTTAGTCTACATTCAAGAGGTTGAGAACTCTCCACACAATTTTGTTATTACAAGCATGACTTGCAATGACTTCTCTTGACTTTTATACGGTTATACCATTGACTTCCCTCCTCTAAACTGAGAATTATATTTATAACCCCCTAACTGACATCAACCACAACCTATGATAGAAAAGACTAACATACCCCTAACCCCTCTTCCTTTTAGAGTTTGTAAGTCGTTTTCTTCTCATTGTGGGTCATGCTTGTAATAACTGATCTGTGTGGATAGTTCTCAACCTCTTGAATGTTGAGGAAAACAACTAATCAGTGAGAGATTTTGCCCTAATTATTGAATTGTTTTTCAATTGTTAACTTAGTAAAACTAGGAACAATAAAACCTATGATGATCCAACCTTCCATTGGTATATTTTACTGCTTCATCCACTTCTAACACTCTTCTACGTTAAAAACATTTCACTGGTATCACGAAAATAGTCGTCAAGTTCTCTTATGCTTCTCTCTTTTCTTGTTGAACGGCTTATCCAAATAACCTTCCATCTTTTTTTGAAACACATCACCTTTAGCTAAAGAATCTATGGTTCTCATATGCTTGTCTTACTGCATTTCAGAACTATCATGAACCTTCTATAAATACAAGAGGACCTAGAACATTATGGAGCTCTATGCTATCTTAGAAGTTAGAACATTATAGGGTCGTTTAGGATGTTTGAGAGTCTTCCTTGTACGTCCCGTATATCGTGTGACTTCAACTCTCTTATTGCACGATGGTTCTTGATTGTTGTGTCATGCCAATGTGAGCCATCTTTTCTTGTGCAACCTTGTGCCCATTTATCCAAAGCTATGTCTCTTTGAGCAATTTTAGTCTTTTAGAGCCATTGCACCTTGTTGAAAATGACAATTGTGGGCTTGGGGAATCTTGTTCATCCATTGCGTTCTTGCAAATGTTCATTGCACATTTGTGTTTTTATAATTCGTACTTTGGTGCAGGCCTTTGTATAAGAAGCATTTGTATTAATTCTTTTTTGTGTTCCCACCGCTTGTCTTGCAACTTTTGAGGCACCCAAAGGATTTGGGGAGCTTGACATTCCTCGCTTCAGTACTCCACAAGAAATAACTAGGATTGTGGGGGCATTAGTTTTACTTCAGAGACTCTAGGTCACTACAACTCTTGAATGACCCTATTGTTGAGACTTGAGACCATGCATGAAGTTAAGCAACTCATTTTTGTCACCTATGTTTCCAATTTGGAAAATGAATGGGAACTTGATAAGAATCCTGATGGACTTTGTTCTTTTGTTGGTTTTTGTGCCTCATAAGTGATCGAGAAGTCCATAAGACACAATTATGTTATGAGTTCTATTTGAATGCATCCCATGTTTCGATGGTGATGATGCCTCATTGTATCTCAACAACTTTCCTACATCACCAACAAGAAGCAATATCAATCAAGTGAAGGGTAATAATGTGTGCCTCAAACTTTTCTTCGAAGTTGTTCGACTCGAAGTAGGACTTGATGCAACAAATGAAGATGTTTTTTACGTCTTGCAAGCCAATGTACACCTTCTGTAGTAATGCATACCTCAAACTCTCAAACTTTTCTTCCAACTTGATTGAGTCGAAGTAGCTCATGATGCAACAAATGAACTGATTGAAGTCGATATTTTTGATGTCTTTCGGGCCATTATACAACTTTGGCTTAGGCACATCGATCGTCCTTCGTATTTCTTGTAGAATGATATCGTTTAATGTTTATAGCTCTCATTGGGTGCCACATGTTTGCAAATTGTGCAATATGACTAGGTCTTCTCGAGATTTTCCTTCATCTTATTGATTCGAGTTTGAGGCAACCTCTTATGTACCTTGTGTTGGAAAATGGCATTTTCTTGCATCACATAGTGGTCCCAACCACATTGGGTGCCCTAGCATATGGTCCTTGAATCTCTGTTATTATTGCTCTACTCCCTTTGAAATTTTGCTCAATTTGGTTAAAATGCTCCTTCAGATTAGACATAGCCAACTCGTGCCATATAAGACATGTCTTAATGGATGAGAATATCCTTAGATCTCTCACGGGGTGCATCCTTCTCAATGAATGAGATCTTTAGATCTCTCACGACGAGCAACCTCTTTGAATTCACCATACCAATGGCTTCATTACCTGACATCTTCCTTGTAACGTTGTTATGTATGGGGAGTTATTTGTTCCAAGCTTTTTACAACCTTCAACATCAACATGTTTTTTTCATTGAGCCAAGTCAAGTATGATATGGAGGACACATTCAAGGAACACAAAGAACTCTTTGTAGTTTTTTCTTTTATCCTTATTACTCCCAACACTTGAACCTTGCACTTGGAGGCTACAAACGAGGGAGGTTGTATAAAGAACAAGATAACGATTCTGCTAGCATGATCTTCTTCTTAATTGTCAAAGTTCAACTAAGTGACTCAATTGATTTTGATTTTGCTATCAACTATCAGAGGATTTAAAACTAAGTGGGCGATTATTCCAATTAACTATGAATGAATTGATGAAACAACTACACAAACCTCAACATACAACTCAATAGGCACACACAATAAGGGTGCATTTGGTACCTGGGACTGGATGGGACAAAAAAAATCATTCCACGTTTGGCATTACATTGGACTGTGGCCGAGTGTGACTGGGTGGGAAAAAATGCAATCTTTTTGTCCCACCAAAATAGGTGGAACAAGGTGGGACTTTTTAGCTAAAGACAAATTTATGCTCATTTTTGGTTCCCCCATTACATCTCAATGGTATACTAAATATTATGTATATTACATAATTTGTATATATGATATTATACACATCTATATATCTACATTTAATATTACATATATATGTGTGTGTAACATATCTATTTATATATCTATATTATATATTATATCTACATAGATATAAATATAATCTTATATTTCTATATGTAATATATAAAATTATGTCTATTTATCTGTATATAATATAAAATGTTATGTCTATATATAAAATAAGATATTATATGAATAAATAATATTATACTTATATACTATATATAAATTATGTGTAAATATTTTTTAATAAAATTATTTAAATATCGCTTGACATGTCTTATTCATTATATGGTAAATAAACAATAAAAAGAATACTCTAGGGACAATCTGGTTCATTTAACATTTTGCCCTGTCCTCTACTACACCAAACACTATATCGACAACTAGTTTTGTCAGTCCTGCCCTCTTTTGTCCTGTGAAGTCCACGTGCCAAATGCAGTCTAAATGAATTGATCTAGCACTAGTCATGACTTTGGGATTTAGATAAATAAAGGATCCTTGGCATTGTTTACATGCAATTGTTGATATCAAGTGATGCTATCATATTATTTTACTAACTCACCTTGAACTGCATCAATAGTCTTCCAAACTTATTGAATTTGCTGATGAGTACACATCCATATTCTTGTGTCATACATACTTGTTGGATCACGGATGTTTAAACAAGTGACTTTAGTTGGGTGTGCAAACAAGTATATTACTATACTAGTTCTTTACGCTTTCACAATAAACTCACACTTCATTTAAGTGATTTCTGAAATAACCTTTATATTGATTCAAGTAACTGATGATTCAAAAGGTTGTCAAGCAAATGGATGATAATAATACCAACACAGGAATGAAATTAACTTGATATATCTACATCTAATATAATGAACAGTGTATTCAGTTATCCCAATTCACCATTCAACTAATCCCAGTACAACCCTACTCACTCATGAAAAGGGAAATGAATGATTTCACAGTTGGAATTTCCATATCTCAAGTCTGGAATCAAACAATGTGAATCAATTATAAAATTTAGTTGCAAAGTAATGAAGAACTGAAAACTTTGTAATGAGTCGAAGGCTGTCTTGAGTGCTTTGATTCACCAGTCAAGTGTGACTGCTGTTTGGCTTCTTGTTTTGGTCTACTGCAGTTCCTTGTCCACTTCCAGGCTTTAGTCTGTTGACCAAGCTCCATCCCCTTGTCATGATTTCTCAATTTTGATTTCAATAAAATAATCAAGCCCTCCAACTTCATCAACATCATTCTCCATTTGCTGCTTGATTGCTTTCATG